AACTTCATTCACTCTAAAATTTCAGACCATTTCTCCCAACTGTCTCTATTTTATTTCTATACCGACATAAGAATAAAATTGCGCAAAAACATCTAATTTCCGAAAAAAAAATGTAATTTCTATGAAAAAGTCAGAGTAATTGTTCTACGATTATTATTCTGTGCTGAATGTTTGAAATTGTGAGTAATTTTTGAGAAAATGCGAACGGAAATGGGAATATCAATTTATCCGTTATTAGCAGATCGAATGTGAAATTTACAACTCGATAGAATTTCGATAGGCAATCATCTGTAACGGAGTATTCCTGATTGAGGGTTTTCGAGTCACTACTTGTCATTATTTTCAACAACTCCCAGTGCAGTTGTCTGGGGCATTCGGCGTTCTGGATGATTAACCAACGAAAGTAAATGCCCCAGAGTTTTGCTCATAACATCGTCTACAATGGCCTCAAGAACATAAAAATCACACGGTCCTGATATATTCATTTCTGACTCAACGGGCCATTCTCGAAACAAAACTACGTCACTGGCGATGAATTATCGTTTTACGAAATGTTTGAATGGGGAACAGGTAAATATAGCCGGATTTAATCGACCCGATGACATAATTCCCTGGTCGTGATACTGAAAATTCCGCTGTGTAGGCAATTAGCGTCGTAATTAGCCCCTCCTCATTTGCCGAGCCAATCATCACGTGACAGCTCAATAACAGGTGGGATTTTAATGGAAGATCATATTTACAGGCCGGAAAGTCCGAAACAAAATTATAGAATTGGTTGTAATTACATACGGTTGTCATTGAGAATAAATTTTTTATAGCTTGAATGTTCCATCGAAAAGTTGCCTTTTCATTATTTTTTTTCCCATAATTTTCATCGAATTTAAAATTGTTCAAATGAGTGATCATACAATAGACTAAAAAGATTTAATTCGAATGATGTTTCAGTTTTTGAGAAATATCCTCAAATCCAAGAAAGACAGCGAATTTTTTGTAGAAACCTTTTCTGTAGATATTAATTAGCTCTACAAAAAAGGTCCAGACGAAAATTTTGATATCAGCCATGAATTTCGAGATATTATTCGAGAATTGTCAAATACTGAAAATCGACATTCGACCACGTGACAACAGATCAATTCATATTCATATATTTTATGTGAGAGCTCAAAAATGTTTTAGAAAAAGTGGAGCATTTCGTAAACAGGACATAATTCACTGGCAATACCCAATTTATGCGTAAAATGGTACGAGAATTATTGACCATTGAAAATAGAAATTTGTTATAAAACCCCATAAATATTTTCCGTCCCTTGCTTCACGCTCCACATACCTATATTCGGTACAATCTCGTCGTTATTCATGAAGGGGCCCTAGACTAATGTCAAAAAACGTACCAAGTACAAAGGGGAGGGGAGGGTAAATTGTAGCGCAAGTGAAAAGTGTTGAAACTGCCCAGACACACCCTGGGTCACGCTAGCCTTTCACTCTCATGTGCTCCTGTCCCGATCCTATATATCACAGTCGATCTTTTTCTCTTCTATTTTCACTAAATATCATTAATTTTTAATCCCACCGTCGGTGCGACCGAATGGAGTGCAAGGTCCAAGGATAAGCCTTCAGGCGTTGATTAGAAGTGATTAAGACCGAGAGAGAACAATAGACTAAAAAAAATGGCTCTCAATGATTACGACTTCGGCTATGAAAAGACATACCTCAAGAAATAAAATATCTAAACAGCCGCCACTTATCTTTAATCAAAATTAATTGATTCACTCGACTAAGGAAAAAACATTGCGAAAGAACGAATGGAACAATAGATGTCCGAATCCTCAAGTGCTCCAGTTTTTGATGCTCTGAGACTAAAAGGAATTCTCATAGTTCTGTTCCAACTGAGTTATTAATCTCGATTAAATTTCCATATTTAGTTTTTGGAGGATCTGCACTAAGAATAATTGTTTATCGGCATTCAAATGAAGTTTATGTGACTCGCAGGTGCAATTTTTTTGTCGTAAATCAATGAAAGTAGTGGAAAGTGACGAGATGTGAGGGAATAATGGATGAATTTATTTAATTCGTTTGGCCGAAATGAATTTGAATTCATGGCATCAGAAGTTTGCGTGCTTCATAAAAATTTTGACGGTGTGCAGTCATGTGAAATCTCTATGATCTCCCCACAATTTTTTATCGTTGATACATTCATTGAATCAATAGCCCGATGTCTATATCGATCTGGCTGAACTCGATAAACCCAATTTTTACCCACCAATTCTGATTTTGCAACGAACCATTTGGATTTTTTATCCACTGTACACGCCCCGAGCACATACTTTTAACTGGGACCACATTAACTCGCGTGAGACTGTCTCGAGATTGGACCCCGCGGGTGGACAAAAAGGGAAAAGTGAAACGAACCGTAAAGGTATCCAGAGTCCCCTAAAAAACTCATTTTTACACACTTCATCTCACTACTCTTGCTCTCAACAATTTTTCACTGAAATTCCAGCTGAAAATCTTTAAAATTTATCGCATGCGCCATTCCTACGAATTTCCCAGAGCGTAATAAAAATCTGTACAGAATTAATGAATTCCAAAATAACTTCCATTAATTATCCCAACGTATGCGAAACAAATTGGTTGGCGATAAGAATTAAAATGAAGATACATTGGTATATTAATTTTTCCGTGAAATTGAGGGAATCCCACTGAATTTCAGAGTTCTCATTTCTCCATTTAAATTTCTCCACACTCAGCTGCTTTTTTCGGTGGGCATTAGAGAGGGTAGAGTTCATTTCGATGTTTGCGAAAGCATACAAGTGTACCTCCGAACACAATTCCCATTCCCATGCGAAAAAAAATATGCGAGGAGTGTAGGTCGAATTCAAATAGAAAGTTTTTAGGATGAAACTACAAACTTCCCTTTCAAATTGATAAATAAATAAACGACACAGTTACGAGAAAGGGATGAGAGATGAGAGGAGACATCCGGAAATGATGTCCAACCAGAAATTAAAGGTGTGGAGTACATCCGAGAAAGTGCGAGAATTTCCCCCATCATCGAGATGAAATGAAAACACCCCGGAAGTACAATCGATCGTGCGCTGTGATTATTTTTAATAACAATGGTTGAACGGTTGATTGTTAGTTATTGAGTGGTTTGATCCACTTAATGATCTTTTTCTCCTTTATCTTTCGCATTTGACTTCCCTCATGATTGTAAAATGTGAATTGGAAAAGTACCTGGTGTCCTTGAAGGGACCTCACGCGGTGGGAAAGGTGGTGAAAACGTGGCAGAGTCACGTGCCTGATCTCGTATCTAATTTCGCTCACTCGAGGTTTTACTACTTTATTTATCAACTTTGTTTCCCGTTATAATGTAACATTTCTTCAAATAGAAAATAATAGACCGTTAGTACCTTTATAACCGAATTGAGAATTCAAGGTATAAGTGTAAATTATTGAATAAATCATTGCTCCAATTAATTACACTTCAATAATTTCCTGACATAAAATATTTATTCATAACCCACCGAATTTGAATATCACACCGAAATAAATTATGAATTTGAACGGAATAAAAAAAGTAACTAAGAGAATAATCTTATGTTTAAATAAAAAAAAAAACTGCTGCAAATTCTTTAATCTAATCTAATCTCAATAATTTTTTTTCGAAAATGCGTGAAAATTTTGAACATGCAAACGAGTGGATATACTGCTATGGATTTTTAACGAAATTTGTAAGAGAAATACGAAATAATATGAATAGTGGTATATGATTGAGATAAATAATATTTCTGGGTGTTATTTTCAATCAATCATGGAGTGGCCTTGATCTCACAAATTAATGAAACCCGTCGTTAGCGAACGATACGTGACCATTAAACTCCACTCATTACACATTCAGTTAATCTCTGAAATACAATTTGACGTGGTGCATTCAATTAAACGTAGACCGTACCGAGGGCAAATAAACGCTAATGCAGTTCATTGAGATCATTCAACTTCCGTGATACGGTATCTGAAATACCCATGGCAAACATCAGTACCTCGATTTTAATGCATCTCACGAAACAGTTGTGCCACGTATAAACGTGCAAACACGCCCGCAGGTATCTCATGGGTTTGAATTTTCAGTCTGAAATACTCAAACGTCATTATGCCCCTCTCCTCCAATAGACGACGTTGGTCCATACCTCCCAGTGACCTGTGAATGTCTAGTAGGAACGTTCACCGACTAGCGAAAGGCGTGGCTCTTTTATGCCTTACATTCCGTTATCATAGATCAATTGATGCTTTAATCATCGGAAATAATCCTCTAATTCAATACATTTATCGACAAAATCCCTCTGAAGACACGTAAATTCCCCAAGTAAATCATTCTGCTAAATTCCTGCTAACCCGATGATTAATAAATCTCGGTTTAATCTCGAATTTTTTTTGTATCGAATAAATTTGTTTGGCACGAGTGAATTTAATTGGAGGAAATCATTCTTCACTCGGTGTACTTCACCGATTGAGTTGTTTAATGTTAAAAATTAATTGGATTCGATGTTGTGGCGAAATCTTGTCGAATGGCTTAGAGACATTTTTTGATATGTCATCGGCTGGGATTTGAGTTTGAGATCGAGATCTGTGACGAAATGATAACGGGCTAATTATCGAATTAATGAGTGCAGACGCGATAAGAGATTTTTTTTTGTCGGTGAAATAATGTAGAAAAAGGTTGCTTCAAGTTTTTAATTGGGTAATTGGAGTGGGTAGATCGATTCGAAAGTCCGATTGCTAAAGCTCTGATGGATGTATTGTCAATAGTTTTTTTTATCAAATGATCAATGATTCAATATCGGATAAAATTGGTTATTAATCCCTTCGAAATATTAAACGGTGATATTTCGATATTTCTTTGACGACTGAAAATTTATTATTCAATTTTCGCGTTTTTCGTGCAATTTTTTGAAATAAATTTTTCGATATTCCACAGCCAACTGATAATCTTGTCTTTCCAGATGCAAACTTCAAAGAAGCTTGTGCTAGTCTACCTGGCGGTAATGTCGGCGTTGGCTATGGGTTCGGAGGCCCCTCGGGCCCTGCGCGACCTGCGAGACCCCACGAATTACGGCCCAGTGCGGCTTTTGACAATCCTGACGAACGAATTGACAGCAGAACCCAGTAAAAAACCCCCGCGACTAATGGGGGGTCACCTAGAGGGTACCCCTCCACCTCGAGAGGAAGACGAGGCGCAATGGGACGACGGATTGACATTGTCCTCCGCGGGCAACGGAAAGGAGAATAAAAAGCCCCATGTGGACGACGACGAGAAGAAAACCCTCGCCCAACAGGTCAAGGAGGGAAAATACGGTCTTATCCAGAACGAGATAAATCCAACGAGATCAAAGCGGCCAGGTGTCATCAGCTACCTGTCGAACCCCGAGGTGCCAAAAGATACAGCGAAGAATCTCGGAGGCCTCGACGAGGAAGAGATATGGCTGGCGGAGAATCATGTGCTAGTTCTCCGAGGCGGTAATTTTCCCGATCAAGCGACAGAAGGGCCATCGGGGGATCTCCGTGGATGGTCACCGATCGATGACTTCCAAGCGCCGAAGAGGCAAGTTAAAATTCCGTCATCGCCGAAAGTTCCCCCGCCCTTTCCCATCCAACTGACTGAGGGTGGACCGGTGACAGTTATCGGTGGAAATGACACGGAAAAGCCCCAGTGGTTCGACGGTCTAATCCCAGCAAACGAGACATTCCTCACTTCATCCTGGAACACCACCGAGGACAATCAACCCGACAGAAAAACAAATTCCGGTCCCTCCCTCGGAGGAATCGTCGGCCCTTTCTTTCCTGCTCTTCCCCCAGGTGCTGTATTCCTGCCGCCACCAGGAAATCAGTCAGACTACGACGAGGACGATCAATCCATCTACTATCCTCCACCTTACAGCTTCAAGTACACCCCGGACAACTCCACCGCTGTTCCCCCAGGTCCTCTCGTCCCCGGTATCATTCTCCCACCGCCACCCGATTTCTTCTCACAACTTGACGATAACAAGGCAACGAAATCCCCCATCATGAAGTATCTAAAACGCCCCAGCACCGCAGCGAAGCCACAGCCCCACTTCCACCGTAAATCAAACCCGAAGCCTCATAAATTCACAGCGAGCTCCATCCCATCATCAACTAAGGAGCCAAGACCATTTACAATGAAACCCCTGAACAAGTTGAAGCTGAAGAATACGACGACCGTGGAAACGGCATCGAAAAAAGTTCTGCCATTAGCTGAGGTGACAACATCACCGAACCGATTGAACACAGTAGAGATCTCGGAGGTGAATACAGTTAGACCAATCGTAACGAATCAGGTGATCGAGAGTAGCACCGAGGAACAGACGGAGAGGCCTCGTTGGACGGGTACGAGCCTGAAATCACCACCAATAGTGGCATACTACGCATCATCACCATCGCCAATCGACGAGCCTGTAGATATCACAGCGAAAACAACGAAACCACGAAAAATTCTGCAATCTGTTCCAAGCTCAGCCTCTTATTACTTTTACGAGGAGGCCAGCGACGATGTGTCGGGCACGACCCCAACACCGGTTTACTTCCAGGAGACGTCTCCCTCGGTAGAGGGTTACAGCCCTGAAAGCCAGACGAAGAAGCCTTACTTCATCGACGTCGTACCCTCGCAATCACCCGATGAGTACAACGTAGAAGTGATTGAGCCAGTGATAAAGACATCGGCACCCGAGTATCAGTATACAGTGGCTGTCCCCAGGGCCCAGCCCCCGAGAATGCTCTCTGATGATCCGATCATCTACAAAACCGTGACAGACAACTCACACGTGAATCTCCACTCGTTCTTCACGACTCCAACACCAGAGAGACTCCATCCCCAACCAAAATCTAAACCAGTGTATCAGTACAGCTTCGAAGCAGCTGATTACGCACAACGAGGCCGACAGAAGAAGATTTACAAACCGATTCAGGAGATCCACTCTCAGAAGGAGGTGTTTAACGAGTGGCAGGATGAGATACAGAACAGTCAGCAGTACAACGATTACGATGGAGAGGTCATTCCCGAGCAGAGATTGCAACCAGAACGATCTCATTACAGAACTAGAGCGCCTAATTACCCGACAACGATTAGACCAAATGTTGTGGATACCACGGAAAATCCACAACATGCTTATTACACGAAGCAGGAGGAGAGGCTGTTGGACGACGTCACCAGGGAATATTTCACTAATTTTGGGAGGAAAATTACCAAACATAAGCTGGTGCCAACGACACCGATCTATGGAAAAGAGAGTGAAGCCGAATTCCAGACGGAGGAACCCAATTATCCGACAATTAATTCCTTCTCTACGAATTCATTTGATGAGAGACAGAAGAGTTACGATACTCCCAGGGTGAAGGTTCACTACGGTGACCAGACCGAGAGGCCATTTTCGTTGGAGGGGGATACGAGGGTGAATTATCGGAGGCCCCTACCTACCCTCAATCCTGATGCTGAGTTTTTACCCGGATATGGCCCCACAGAGGAACGTGGAAGGGAGGGAATCGAGAGGTTCAGAGAATCAAAGCCCATCAGAGAGTACATTCCCGTTAAGGCGTACAGAGGACAGACTCGAGAACCCTCTGGACCCACTCATTTCGTACCTCTCGAGGAAAATAGAGAGAGACAGAGAATTTTTCCGCAAAGACCGATATCACTTGATGGTGACACCGCTGTTAATTATCGAGTGCCTAGACCCCCAATCAATCCCGACGCCGAGTTCATTGATCCCGGGACTAGTGGACAATCGAGGGAGGAAAAACTGAATTGTTATTTTGCGTATAGATTGCCTGGGGACGGCGGACATTTTTATTTTCTCACTCCGCACGCTATTTCACAGGGGCAGGAGGACGACGCCTTTGACTACTCTAGACCCCGAGGCACTAGGCGAGCCAAGCAAAGACGAGGGCCTAGGAATGTTTAGAATTGCGTTTCGATGTATTTTACGAAAATTTTGAGAAAATCCATTAGAAGAGAACACGACTCGTTTCGTCGTTCCTCTATTGAGTATTATTACTGTTAAAAAATTGATAAATTTTCGGGAAATTAATGTAATTCGGTTTGAGGGGCTCAAGTCGATTTTTGGTATTGGCTATTTTTTATGGAATATCTCGGAATCTAAGGGAGATGACGATTTTTTAGTAATTATCTTTTTCGCAGGCATTAATGAGCTCTTCAAAAAGTTTAATATGAGAATTCCGGTATCTTCTCTGGATTCGGAGAGATCGGGTACTGAAATTTAACCAAGCGGCAAAACTTGGAAATTTTAGTCACAATTTTTTAACAGTAAGTCTTGGGGTAAAAATAATATTCTAGGTGTTTTTAACTGTCACATTCGGTGCAGAGCTTAGTCGACAGTGAAGACATGCCATACTACGGTTTTTTCAACGAATTTCGTGTTAATCTGTGTCATACGCGACTGATGTATCAGCAAATTGCTCCGGATAATTCGTCCCTCGATTTGTATTTATTCGTGTAAATATGAGTTAATTTAATTTCCGATTGATCAATAACTAGTGAATAAAGAAAAGGTTTTGAGTTGAAGTTGATTGACTCCTGTGTGTTTGTATCGTCTGTGATTAATGATTTTTTTTCCCCCTAGATTTTATATATATAATACGAGGCACACATGTGACGCAACTATAGGGGTGGAACTATTTATATCCCACTATGGTGTTATTTTATGATAGCGAGTAAAATAAGATAAATCGAATTCGACATTTCATGATTTAGTATATTTCCTCAATAGGCCGTTTAAAGATTTTTCTGGCGATTGAGTTTAGAGTCCGAGGCGAACCTGAGGAAATACAACTGTGCGAAAAGTTCTTTCCAGCCGAGTCACAAACGATATTTTTTGTCATTCAGTTTGAGAAATGGTTTTCGAGATCAGTGAAAATTGGACTGGACTGGAAGATTCGACTTATCTTGTTTCACCACTTCGTTAGTGAATTGAATCTATTGTTTTTTTTTTCTCTGCAATTCAGTGTAAGTAGAGTTAAGTTGATGTAAGACCCAATCTCCTGAATAAATATGTATTTACTCGATAATTGAATGGAGGCTAACGGAATGGAATTATTTTCACCCCCTAATCCAGATTGTGACCAAATATCTGTGTCATGGGTTAATCTTGGAGAGAACTCATCTGTTCGTTGTCTCCATCTCTATTTTTGACTCGACACACTGTATCTCAACGCTTGCAAAAATACGACTCCACTTCATCGGAGAATCGAAGTCTGAGTGGGCAGACGAGACGATTTCAGTAACGAAGAGGTAATGGGTTTCAACTCGAGTTTCCAAATATTCAATTTTTGGAGAAAAATCTCGGAATATAAAAGAGATGCAGCGATTATGTTCTAGCTGTCGTAGATTGAGAAATAGTTTTTTCAAAGTTCGAGTGAGAAAATGTCGACTTTTTTCCGTTTGGCTCTTCGGTACTGATTTCAATTCGGAAATAGAATAATTAAATGAGACTCACCAGTGTCGATTTCCTGGATCTGCGTGGGGTCGGGCAGGGGATTGTCGTGGAGCCGGAGGTACACTTCTATTGCACATTTTGCAGCCTTGAAGTAGAATGGATGGGAGCGAAGAACGTCCTCTAACCTCAGGAGTCCAACGTACGAACGAAGAGTCATTTTTCTCATGCAGTATGTGTGAAAGTCAAATTGATCTTCGATAATTTCCGAAAAATGCTGAAACAAAAAGCAAAGAGAAAATTAATAGAATTAATAATGATAAAATAATCACATATCAAAATATTCCAAGAGACTGAAAATCTTTCGACAATTCAATAAAAAAAATTGTTCAAGTCAATACAGTAATCATTCCTCAATTAAAAATTTCCCCAAAGATTTTATAAAGAAATTGAATGTAAATTGAATGGTCAAACTTACTCTGTCGACTTCATGACATTTCTTGAGTGCATCCCCATATTTGCCCAATCTCTGATAAGCATTGGCAGCCTCAGTCTGTATCCACATGCACTGCATCTCGTTAAGATTCTCCATAGGCTGGACCCCTTCCCTCGTGAATTTTCCACACGTTTCCTCAGCCTCCTTAATCAAATTAGCACGTAGCATATACTTGGCACACTTGGAATTAATATATCGATCGGCAGTGTCAAGCTCCTGTGCCTCATCCAGCCATTTGTAGGCATCCTGAACATTGCCAGCATGTTTATAAATGCGTCCTTTGGTAACAAAAAGTTCAATGAGAGTGGGTGTGTGGGATAAAGCAGCATCAATCTCATGGAGTGCCTTCTCAGGATCCCCAAGATAATCATAATGCTGAGCAAGATAATAGTATGTCCAGAGTAAAGCTGACGCTGGCTCACGTGGATTTTCCTTTTCTGCATCATTGAAATGCCCATGATTTTTCAATGCATCTCTGTACTCTAGCAACAGTGACTGTATTGTGTCGACCTTTTGCTGATCCTTGTAAAGCGATCGTAAATTAACGAACAAGGGTGGCACACCTTTGTGCAAACCCCTTCGTAAATATTGATCAACTAATTTCTTGAACTGTTCACCACTGGCATAATTCAACTGCAGTCTCCTGGGTGCAAGGGCACGTGGAAACAATTCCTCGTATCTTTGGAGCATCTCCAGAGTATCCTCGGGCTTTTCATGCTGCTCAGCCTCCGCCAGTTTGGCATAATAAGTCGTGTTCTCAGGATTTATCGTCAGGAGATCCTTATACACCTGGACAGCCTCAGGATACTGGGAGAGCTCCAGACGAAGTTTACCATAGGTCTCCTTCACCGTTATTTTGTCACATATTTGATCGTTGTATTTATCCAAGTGCTTGAGAGCTGCTTCGCTGTCACCAGACTCCTGGATCACCAGATTTTGGTACAGGAGGAGCTCACTGTGCTCGTAGTCGTAACAGATCATCGGGGAGTCACGAAAGGTGTCTAGGATCTTCAGAGCTGTCTCGTAATCCTTCAGGAGGTGGTAGGATATCGCGAAGCCGATCCACGAGGCTCTCTGGGTGGGTCTGAGCATGAATAATTGGTATCTTGTGTCCTGAAATTGATGGGAAGATTGCAGTTATATAATTGGCTATCGATAAGTCCCTCAACATTTTCACTTGGGATCAATATTTATTTAGATAAATCGATAAATCAAAGTAATTATTTAATTTCAATTATTTTAGTGAATCACTTCACTGCTGAAGTGAAGCCTTTGAGGTAGGTAAATATTATAGAATAACCTTGTATCCATCAAGATCTCTCATTTGTATTTGCAGCAACGACAGATCCCGTAGGATCTGTAAATTATCCTTATCCCACTTGAGTGCATTACGGTAGCACTTGATGGCCTCGTCGTACTTTTTATCCGATCTCTGGAGCAATCCATAGACGTGCCAACAAACGTGTGATTGTAGATCATTTCTCAAACCCCTGCGTACATGATCGTAAGCCTCTTCTTTCCTACCTAGGCAATTGAGGGTGAGTCCCTTCATCGCCAGGGTCTCTCCATGCTCCGCGAATTTTGGATTCGACAGAATCTGCTTCGCAAATTTCAACCCATTTTTGTACTGTTTGTGCTCGTAGCATCTCTGCAAACGAACCGTAATTAGTACTCAATTCTGTTCTAAAGTGAGGGATTGAAAGGTTAGGTGCAGGGATTATCCATCAATCCTCCAATAATTGAAAAAAACATCAGGTGTTATTGCATCCTCCCCACGAAATTCTCATTCCTACTTGATTGATCATTGCAACTACCCAATTATTATCAATAATCACTTATTAAATGAATGAAATTCGCTGAAGATTAGGACATTGAGGCTAGGTTATAGGAGCGAGAGTGATTCCCACAAAATTCTACAACAATTTTCCGTCCTCAATTCGTTTATCCTCATCCAAAATGAGGTGATTTCAGGTGTAATAAAAAGACATAAACATGTAAAAACATTGCAACAACTTTGTAAAGTTGATAACAGAATAGCTGAACGTGATACACCAATCGTAAAACGAAATTTCATGAGAAAAAGAGAAATGATTAAGGTTAAGAACAGAAAACCGTAGGATCGCTGATGATTCAATAGACGATATCATCTTCATTGTCGAATGAATGAATAATTATAAACTCTCGCATTATAAATTGACAATCATACAAATGCTTCATCATGAGGCCTTCAGATATGCCCTGAACACCGGGATTTTCATAATGGTGTTGGAGAGAGTGGGGTGATGTGTAAAAACATGTATTTTCATTGGCTTGGTTACTCACCAAAATTCGCTTAAACAATGCATTCTCTTTTGGTGGCAATGGATTGCTCGATGGCATTTTTCACACTAATGTACAATAATTCAACGATTGAGGGTGAATACACTGTTTCGTAAAAACACCCGCGACTATTGAATCACTGTAGAAACACTCAATTCGTTTTTTTTATTAAATGTTTCAACCCACAGAAAACCTCGTGGCCACTGAACGCGATGAAGTCGATCACTTCGATCACGTGATCATTTCCAACTACCACACACTAGCAAAATATCGAATAGGTGATTTCGAGGGTTGGTTGTGTTCCGCCCAATTCCGCCGGAAGTCGGGGGGCTTCACTGTTGCCCGGCAAAATGTTTGATTGAATTTTCACCGAATTATCTCACTATTTGTCCGGAATTTTCCAATTTTTTGTCGACTTCTTTCTTTGGCATTCTCGTTTACTCTTTCGTTGGGGAGGGGCTTTCTAGGGCTTCCTGACGTGTCGTTTTTCCAAGAGGGGAGACAATCGTGGACTTTTACGGTGTCCCATCTACCTCGGCATAACCTTACATGAAATCCCGGTTATTTTTTATTTTTTTTCGTTCCAAATGGTCGATTTATCTCTGTTATTGCGTGATTGTCAGTGTTCTGGGTGCGATAATTTCATTAGAGAAGAATTATTTGGGGGTAACTTGTGGTTTTTTGGGAATTACGTAATAATAACAGTTTTACGCAACATTTTTTTGCGGACGCTATTCACCGAATTGTGGACACGTTTCCATGGAGCGGCGCACCGACGAATGGAAGGAAGGGATGCTGTCATTGGTCGAAAGAGGAGACATTTTCGCGTGGGAATCTGAGGATCATTTGAATTTCGTGGAGGGCTTGGTTGAATTGTAGTACAAATTTATTATGAAATTATTATTATAAATTTTTTTTTATATTATATAGTTCTTTATTATAACATTTCGAATTTTCACATTTCAGTGAATACCTCTCCCATTTTCATGCTCCCCTGATACTTTTCAAAAAATTTCGAATTTTCAAATTTCAGTGAATACCTGCTCGATTTTCATGCTCCCCTGATAATTTTATAAAAATTTTGAATTTTCAAATTTCAGTGAATACCTCCTCGATTTTCATGCTGCCCTGATACTTTTCAAAAAATTTCCAATTTTTCAATTTCAGTGAATACCAATTTCGTAATAGAGAAAATAATATTTACGCTGTCGACTGTCACCCTCTGACAGCGGGACTGTTACTGAGGCAGTGACCGAGTCGCCTGACGGGCAGACACCCCAGCATTGCGTGTGGCGCCCTCTCTCTCTTGGTTGTAGTACTACGATGCCGCTGATGTCACTCAAACCCCCAGAACTGAGCCTGTGCCACCAATGGGTAAGAAATCGTAAAACCTGATTTAGAATTAAAATAAGAATTTATTTTATTTCTTTTTCAATTTTTACTGGTCCTGAGGGGATCATCAGGCACCCGGGGAATGTATTGCATTGGCTTGTTGTATGAAAAATTCGATTTTGGTTAACATCAAATTTTCTCTCAAGTTCATAGAAAAACAGAATATAGGCAAGATTCACTTGTTTTTATTACAATAGACTGATATTGTACAAATCGTTTTAGAGCCTTAATAAACAACGAAATTTCACTGACATTTTCAATGTTCTGGATCCACCTTCCATTCCCATTTATTCTCCTCATCATCGATATGTATCCTATGTTCAGGTCTATCTCGGAATGATTAATAGGAGTATTCAGTAGTTGTACCCATTTTTGTTGCCATTCATTTCCGTAATCTAGTGACTTTATGATAAATACAATTCATGAGGTGATAGATCAAGTCGACGCACAAAAAATAATGATTCATGGAGCTGAGAGTACATGATTTGTCACAACAGTGAAAACGATGAAAATGAAAAGCATCGACTCGGTATTATTCACGAATATGAGGCACATTAACTTATGCCCCGGAAGTGAAATGATTCTGAAGACTTATTCTCTTTTCATATTTTGTTATAAAAAGCTCACTCAAGATGTAATAATTATTACACACGTTTTACCAAGTTATTCATATAATTTTCATCAATTCGACCGAGCAATGAATTTTTATCAAAGTGCAGACAGACTTCGATACAATAATCGGTTTTTCAATTAAATAAAAACTATACAACGCTCTCACCACGACATTCTAATATAGAATAAATTATCTAGGTCTTCAATTGTATCGACAATTGCTGCGTCACTCTGCAAAATCCGTTAGAGAGGCACGGCCATTCATTTTATTCATCCACCTTCGCACTATTAACATCGCTACATCATAATCTTGTTTACCACCTGTCCTCTACATTGGTCAACGTAAAAATTCACCCTGCGTATTCTTATGATTAATTTTAATGCGTTTTTCACAATTATGCATCTCTCCAGCAGCCATTAGAGTTCAGCTATTATTTCTACGGAGTAGAAACATAAAATGCTATTGATAAAAATATGTATGAAACCGCATACACTCGTCTCTCTCGAATGAGAATGAAAATTAAAGCTGCCTCTAGAAAATAATTACTTCTACACTTACGTTAAATTATATCTCAATAAAAAAGGGCATCTGAACAATTGTAATCTACGTAATCGATAGATTGCTATTACTTTATGGCATTTAAAAAATTGGCTTTTCAAAGTAGAAGTTCTCTCCATCAGATCATGCAATGATTTTTAAATCAAGGGAATAATTACAATGCAGTCTTATAGAAAAGTACATTATTCAATGATTTTTCCACGTACAACGATGATTAATAAAAAAATAATAATAAACTCACTGGCAGTTAGAGATATTAACGATGAAAATAGAGATTGGAAGGAACTCATTGTCAATTTGACAGGAATACAGTGTTATTATTAAATGTTTCATGATATTTAGATTTTTGCCCTTTTTATTATAATATATAAAACCTTGCAATACCTCAACGCTTTACGATTACTATTATGATACAAGTTATATTTAGTTTTCATCTTCAATAATCGTATAAACATTATTATCATCACAGTAAAAATATTTTCATTTATTCTCATTATTTATATCTTTCAAACTATTAACTCGTGTTTAACGCACACAGCGGGTGCGTTTTATTTCACTTATGGTTTTGTCCTTTTTATTATATATTCAAGTTATAAGCATCAACTACACTATAAATAATCCACTCTGTTATTGGTAAACGTTTAAGTAGTCCATCGGTTCATTTACACGTAATCCAAAATAATGTCAAGTTAATAGTTAGCAAAAATACAATCAAAGTTACATATGTACTGATTTCTGTTGCACTGGAATTGCCGTATTCACTTTGCTTGAAGTTCATCGAAAGAAACAACTACAGAAGAATAAATTACCAATAGTTATCCTAAACAATAGTCATTGGTCTATGGACTTTTTCCTTTAAATATCCACGAATTGAAGAGTCTCATAAGTAGCCGAATCCACTGTCAAAAATGTTCCCCTGAAATTTCCCACAATTCTCTGAAAACTCAAAATCTTTTTTCGGCATACACGATCTTCGGAAAATTCAGTACAAATATTTTCAACAGTGTACGCAAAATTTTTCCCTTTTAAGTACGTATCGGTACTAGTAATTATTCTCATAATTTCGAAAAAAAATGCACAGAAAGAAGAAACCACAATTTGGATATTAATCGGCAGTAGATTGAGTAGTTTTCAATAATTCAGTCTCTCACAAAATAGCTGCCCAGCAATAATAATTCTACTTTACAATAATTACCCAACTCGATATTTACAAAATTGCATATTAACGAATACAATTTCTCACAAATGATCGCCTTGATGTAATGAACGATGTTTAGAAAATTTCTACGAAACCCCAGCAATCGTCACACAGATGTCTGTGTAACTCCATTGCCTGATAACCATATCCGTCCATTGCTCTTCTGGTCATTAATCTCATACTCAGAGTCATCAATTTCACAGAGATTTGTGGACAGATCGCTGTTGCTGGTGCCACCGCCTAGCAGTGAATTTCTCTCCTCGAGTGTTGTTATGACCGAGCCCATCTCATCTGTCTCATCGCCTTTGCATCTGTTACGTCTTATACTTGGAAAACCGTAAGGCACTACGTCATCTTCTTCCTCGTCAGATTCCAGTGTACTAAGGCGGCCATTGAGCGGATTCATCTCGTTCTCTGTGTCCGTGTGAATATTGTAATGCGGTAAATATGAGTTTGGATGCCTGAGGTAGCTCTCTGTATCCTTATATTTGTATTCACCCTCACCACCGCTGTCCAGGGGATTTAATCGTTGTGTTTCAGGGCAGTGATAGTGTTCAGAAAATTCTGTACCGCACTCAGAGTCACCGATGTATTCAGACTCCTGGTCTTCGTTGAGAGTTGAAATGTCACGGATGGGATCTACTGGGCCATGCACTGCGGCAAAACAAATTATAAAGACTTAGTCTCTTAGGGCCATCTTTTAAACCTCTCTTTAATATTTTTATGCGAATGAATGAAAATAGGAAATTCATTGAGGAATTAAAAAAAAAAATAAAGACGTATGCTGATAATAATTAAAAATGGCACATTAAATGGGTTGGCTTGGGGTTACGGGATTGATTTATCCTAGGGCTGAATTGAATATATTTTTGTTTTTATCGAAAATTTAGAGAGAAAATGAAATTTAATCCCATTTAAATGCAGAGGCAAAAACGGATTGTTTCAGTTTTATTACATTCCCGAATCGATTTTTACAAACTACGGCAGATGATATTTTATAGATATTCATCAAAAACTGAATGCATCTTTTTTACTGCAGAGGGGAAATTATTTCACTTTATGTCACTGGTATAGATAAATATCTTTACTCCAACAAAATTAACGTCGAGGGTCGCAAAATTCAAAATTTTTTTAACGTTAAAAATATGGTTCGTCCCTCGGCCGAGAATAATTTCTATCCGATGATTAAAAATAAACCCATGGAATGAATAGATCAGTTGTGAAAAGTTCAGTTCTATATTTCTATCTGATCACTGAAAAAATAAATAAATGTAAAAAAGTAGAATGAATAAATGCCACTCACTTGACGGTAACTGATGAGTGTTGGACTCGTTACTCTCATTGCTGTGGAAGCTGGACGAGTCAGGAACTTCGCTGCCAGGTACCTCTGTAATATTAGGAAGAGGATTCTGACTCGGCCTGACCCAGTCTGAGCAGTCCCAGTGATACCCTAGAACCCAAGAAATTACGCATGGCAGACAAGGGCCAAAAAAATTCACCAAATAAAAAATACAAAGAGAGATTGCACAGCAGTCAGTTGAGTAAAGAGTGACAGTGAAAAAAAAAAAAATTCACAGTATTTATCCAGGCAAAGCCACCGGTATTGCGCAAAGGTACAAAAGCCCATTCTATTCTCCTCGATCGTGTATTTCCAAGCATTTTTCAGCTTGGGGCCACTTACCACCGACTATAGGCGGATCATCCTCAACAGACGATAGGGATGCTACGGAGGTGCCACCCCCATGAGGTATCCTCCGTGTGGAATTTAGTAGAAGTCCTCCAGTGGTCAGCTCTGGTACCACTGGGCTCGCTCGTTTCAGGTCTGTTAGTACACACACGACACCTAATTGTTAATAATTTACTTCTTGCCACACCCAGGCACATAAGATCAAATAGATCAGTAGCGCAGTGGTAAGCCAGACGTGACGAAATTACCATTTTTATTAGTTATCGATTTATGAAATAATTACGGATTTCAGGTAAAAACGCTGAGAGATTTTTTTATCGCCGCTTAAATTTCCGAGGGATAAATTAATTTATATTTCCTGCGAAAATCAATATAATACCGAAGATGGAAAGATCACTTATATTCTCGTTCTATTCTTCCCCTTTTCAGTATTGCATTGATGTTGACCTGTTTTATAAATTTAATTAACAATACAAAAAGTTTAAAAGGTTTTCACCTGAAATTGACAATTTTTGGGACAAATCGAATAACTCATGAGAATGTTAATTCTGACTCATATCTTTTTACGACTTCGCCGCTGAAATAATGTCATAAAAAAAATGTCATGTTCTGACTTGAGAAATAATGCGAGGTGAACGAATGACATTTTCATCAGAATGAAATGAAAGTGAAATGAGAAGCTACGACCGATGCATGCCGCAAGCAAAATTAAAAAGTATAATAAGAAGCCGCGTATTCAAGAGAAATTAATCGATAATATTGATTAGTATAACGTTTGTTTCTCTCATGTTTTTGTCATCACTCTACTTACCATTTTTAATTTTAGCCGTATCGGTGATAAACGACGCAAGTTGCATCTGCTCCTGCCACGAGGGCTTGTGAAGGCTATCCGTATCACTTCCAGTTGCATTTCCACCCACTGGATTAGCAAGTGTAAGGGTCGGATTGGGCACTGGGGTACTTCGATTGAGATTTCTCAAATAATCAGGGGGAAAATTTTCTAACTCATCCCCAGCGCTCCCATAACTACGCAGTGTATCGAGATTATTAAGTGCCACCGCTGCTGAATTGCTGTACGCCGTTGGCTCGTTGTTGGAGCTTGGGGTATAGGATGCGGGTCTGGGAGGGCATTGGGGAGGTTCTCTCTGCAAAAATATTTAAAAAAAACCCAAATCACACAAACTCCATAATCATATCATTAGCGAAGTTATAAAGTCAAGTAAATCGAATTATCCATTTTTCACAATTTATCAATTACTTCGACTTATCTCACTTTATCACTTCCCTATCGATATAAACCCAACTAAACTCAAAACGATCTCTGATAAACTCGACAAAAGCAAATTAAAATCTGCAACTAAAATGATTTTTGCAGCATCTGCGCCAATGATTCTGGAAGAGTGTCATGCTCGAAACAATTCTAAACACGTAATGAGAGATAAAATCGAATAAATCGAATCATTACCTGTATAACTTCCAAATTGCTCAACTTGGAGCTCCTCTTGAATTCGTGATCGTTAGTCCTCGCTGAATTCAAAACAATTTGTTTTCTCGTCTCATTATTGATATTATTAGTCCTTGCCCTAGTCCTCTTATTCCTGATTCTCCTGCAGGTAACGAAGACGATAATAATGAAGGTATTGGCAGCCAGAGCAACGCCAATCCACATGAGCTGCTCCCCAGTGATATTAAAGTGCTCAGAGATGCTTGAGCTCGAGAAAACCGAGCTGAGACAATTAACTCCCGTGACATTGGGTGGACACAAACACCTGTAACTTCCAATTTCATTGACACAAGTGCCCCCATTAGTGCAGGGGTTATTCTCGCACTCGTCTATATCAGTTTCACAACGTTCGCCAGTGAATGCGTGACATTTGCAAATAGGTCCATTGTTTCCCTCCTCACATATTCCCCCATGAATACAGGGATTTGGACTGCAGTACCTGCCAAATTCACAGCGTTTTCCCGTCAAACTGGGGCCAATGCAATCACAGGAGTAATCACCACCTTCCAGTGGTTTACACCGTCCCCCGTACAGACAGGGAGATGAGGCGCAAGGATCAGTATCGATTTCACAAGCGAGACCATTAAATCTCCCATGACACTGGCACTCGTAGTTATCTCCATCGGTCTCCCTGCAGGTGCCTCCATTTTGACAGGGCTGAGAGCCGCATGCACCAGGTGGAACGAGAATTGTTGCTGAATCACAACTGAATTCAACATTGGCAAAACGTTTGAGAACAGCAACACTGCTTGCACCACTCATGTGCATCGGCACAGGAACTTTGGAAATCTTGACGTCGTCCATGCAGCCCACGAAGCCCCTCTGGACGTCCTCAAATCCAAGGATCGACGGATGCTTGCGCACCTCGGCCCCCAGGTACAAGTCATCAGATTGTAAATTGAGAATATCATTGATACCAGGAGCAGAACCGTGGGCCACATGTTTTCCATCGACAGTGAGTCTCGCTGAATTGCTCTCACGTTCCAATTGAATCTCGTGCCACTGTCCATCGCTGACGAAGACACTGCTGACCCTGACGAGGCCCTCCCCACTCCCCAGGTCGAATTTGTACTGAACTGCGCCATTCACGACCTCCAGGATGTTGTAATCAATTTTTCCAGAGGCGTACATGAGGTTTCCAGTGGGCTGGACTGTTCTGATCCTCAAGGACAGACTGAGTCTGTCCTCGATCGTCTGTCTGACCTGAGCTTTATCGATTTTATAGCGGGCATAACTCTTTCCACTGAAGGATATGGGATACCTGGGGACGTAGCACGACCCTTCATGGCACTTGGACATATCTGTCTCGCAGGTGGGACCGGCGAAGCCCTCGGGGCAGAGGCAGGAGTAACCCTGAGGCGATGAATCAGGCACGCAGACCTTGAATGCCTGACAGGGGTCTCCCGCGCACTCGTTGACAACGATCTGACAGTGATCCCCTGCGTAGCCCTCCTTGCAGGTGCATTCGAGCTTGTGCTTATGTTTTGGAGACACAAAGCTCATCACATCGCTGGAGATCGGTATTATCTGGCTCTGATCGAGGATTATCTTCTCGTGGCACTCACCGTATACACACTGGCCCTTACTGCATTTAAATCTTACAATTTCCTCTACCACGAGTTTCGTCGACTCTTCGAGCTCCTCGATGTGCTGATTGAGGGCCTCACGAATGCTCTCGGAGGTGTAGAATCCAGGCCCACCCAACAGTGGATTCGACTTGCGAACTGAGAAGAGCAGATCGAGATCGTTGTGGATTGCCTGGCGCACCATTCGCGATTTAATGATGTTAACATTGTCGTCGGTGGATGCCTGCACACCGATGATAACGATGTCCTTCAAGCGGCAGTTCATAGCGTGACGAACCGTCCTCAGGAAACCCTTCCGGTGGCTGAAGATAAAGTCCTCGGGGCTCACCTCCCTGAACCTGATGATAACTGAATTGTCGAGCATCTCCTGGGAGACGAGTTCAACGTCAACTTTGACGACAGCATGGGAGTAAAATTTTCCGTCACTTACGGTGACATTCACTCGATACTCTCCGACATCGGGCATAGGCAGTACTTTGAGTGTTCCATCGTCCTTGTCAATCTGGAAAAGATCGGCATTGCTGGCCGACGCAACGAGACCATAATGCAGGCTATCGTATTGATCTCTATCACTGGCATGTACTCGTCCGATAATTCCACCAGGATATTCATCAGCGTAGGAATTTATTACGATCTCTAGGGGTGTTATAACCGGTGGATACTGAGACTCTTCAATGATCTTCACTAAAACCCACGCATCCGAGTATAACGGTTGACTGCCATTATCAAACACCCTTATGTGCAGTAAATATCGATCCTTAACTCGGCTATTAAATTTCATAGCGGTCCTCAGGGTGCCATCCTGCTCGAGTCTGAAAGCATTCCCTTCATTGCCAGATCGAAAATCAAATGTATAAGGCTCGGCATTGGGTGCAATATCAGCATCCGTAACGGTGAATTTTAAAACATGATGATTTAGCTGTTTGTCCTCCTGCACGACTGCTGTGTAATTAAGTTCGCTGAACACCGGTGGATTGTCATTAGCGTCGGTAATCTCGATATTAACGACGACCGACGTCTCGAGAGTGGGTTGGCCTCCATCCCTGGCGTGCACCTCGAGATCGTAACTGGGAATCCCCTCTCTATCCAATTCCGCCGAGACTGTTATAACCCCAGTGCGTTTATCAATTTTGAATTGTTTCAGTCGATCCCCCCTTTGAATCGAGTAAGACACATTACCATTTTCATTGCTGTCGAGATCGTGAGCCGAGACTCTAGTAACTTCGTCACCAACTTTGGCGTCTTCTCTGATCGCAGCACGGTACGACAGTTGATTGAAATTCGGGGGATTGTCGTTGCAATCAGTCACAGTTATATTGACTGTTGCGTAGTTACGGAGTGGTGGTATACCACCGTCGATGGCTTGAATCGTCAAGAAATAGTCACGAGCTCTCTCGTAGTCCAACTGTTCGGCGATGGAAATGATGCCAGTGTTGTTGTCTATAAGAAACTTTTTATGCTCGTTCCCACCAACTATTGAGTAGTAGACCATAGCGTTGACACCAGTATCTTTGGAAATGGCCACGACCCTTGCCACTTCGGTGCCAACCTGATCGATTTCAGGAACACTAGCGAAGTAGAATTTGGTGACAAACTCCGGGGGATTGTCGTTTATGTCTTGAACGTTGACAATGAGTGTTGCTGTGCTGAAGAGTTGGGGTGTACCCTGATCCACTGCCTTCACTGTCAGATTGTACATCTCCTTGGTCTCTCTGTCCAGGGGTTTAGCCAGTGTGACGATGCCGCTGTCAGAGGTGATGATAAAATGACCGTCAGCTGAATCTACAAATTCGTATCTCACTTTTCTGTTTATACCGATGTCGTCGTCGGTTGCGTGAACTTTAGTAACGAGTGTACCAACTTTGACATCTTCAGGAAGAGCTGTGCTGTAGGAAGACATTGTGAATCGCGGTGCATTATCGTTGAGATCAGAGACTATGATTTCTAACTGCGAGGAGCACTCCCAATACGATTTGTCACGGTCTTGTACGTGAGCTGTGAGAGAGTACTTGGACTGCGTCTCCCTGTCCAATTGTCCGATGGTCTTCAGCACCCCAGTATCTTTATCCAGTGAGAACTTGTCGTTATGATTTCCGTTGTTGTCGTCAGTCAGATAGAATCGAAGTTTTGCATTGGACTCGTCGTCGTAATCAGTGGCGAGAACCGTCAGCACGTAAGTCCCCGGGTGTGATCCCTCGGAGAGGATCTCCCTGTACCTGTACCTCAGACAATACGGTGGATTGTCATTGACATCCAGCACTTGCACAGTAACTTTAGTATCGAATACGAATTTCCCATCAGTCCCCACGACATTCAATTCGTACCTGTCGATAGTCTCTCTATCGAGAGCCTTCGCCACGTAAACTTCACCAGTGGCTCTCACTTGAAACTGCGACCTTGGATCTCCACCGGTGATGTAAAATTCGACGGGGGTCATCAGATCGATATCCTTGTCCACAGTGACAAGTTTAACAACGACAGTACCTGGAAGTGCGTCTTCCTTCACCGTTGCCTCGTACCTGTCATTCACAAAAGCTGGAGAATTATCATTGTAATCCTTCAATTTAACGTGCACAGATGTCCTGGCGAAGTGTTTAGGATTGCCATTATCAGTGGCAACAACCTGGAACTTGAACTCTGGTTGCTTCTCCTTGTCGAGTTGAACGAGGGTTGAAATCCATCCAGTATAGGCATCGACTGTGAAGACATTCGCCAATTCACCAATATCTGTCCCGAAGGAGTACCTCACCTCCCCGTTGTTGCCTAAATCCTCGTCGTGGGCTATGACTTTGAGGATCGATGTCCCTTCCTCAATGTTCTCAGCGAGTGTTACCGTGTACGGATTGCTCTCAAACTTTGGTGCATGATCGTTCTCATCGAGCACTTGGAGTGATATCTCAGCCAATGCTGTTAACGGAGGACTAGAATCTGTCTCAGCAAGAACAGCAATCAAATGATTGTCTTTTAATTCTCGATCTAGATTTCGGATTAGAGTTATTTGTCCCTGTTTGTTGATGGCGAACGCCTGGGTCTGATCGTCACCAGAGAGAATTCTGTAGTTCACAGTGTTATTGGTTATTGTTTTGAGGCGAGTGATGGGGGTGCCTACCGGTGAGGACTCCGAGACGAAGAACTTGTCCTCTTTCCACTCAAAGAGGGGTGGAGTGTCCGAAGGGCTCATCACGTAGACGCTGAAGGGCACATCTGCGTGGTGGGGTGCCACTCCCTTATCAGTGGCTCGAATGAAGAATTCAAACAGTTGATTTTGAAGTGGAGCTGCATTTTTTAATAGAAAGACCGCACCAGTATCTGGATCCACACCGAACAGCTTTTTCATTTCTGAATTTTGTGGCTCGTATATCGAGTACTCGATCATCGACGACTCTTCATCGTCCAAGTCGTACGCCTTCACCTTGGCGAAGGGAATGTTCTTAGTTGTGTTGCTGTGAACAGATGTCTTGTACTCGCGCAAAAGAAAGACAGGAGGATTGTCATTCTCATCTCCAACTTTTACCCTGACGATTACGAAGCCAGATCGACCGCCATCGTCAGTCGCCATCACAGGTATTTCATGGAACTTTTTCGACTCCCTGTCCAGTTTCTTCTTCGTTACAATTTCCCCTGTAACTCGATTGATATCAAATATGTCTCGCATGAGTGCCGAGGGAATGGAGTATACGACGTGGCCATAATCACCGAAATCCTCATCCGTGGCGAAAACCGTGGTGACTAGTCGCCCTGGCAGCTGATTCTCCATGACAGTAACTTCGATCAGGGGATTAGGAAATTTAGGGTTGTGCCTGTTTGCAGGGAGAATTTCAATTTTGACACGCGTGAAACTCGTGTAAACACCGTCAGTCACCGAGACATTAAGCATTGTTAATTTTTGATCTCCAAAGTTCTGCATGTTGATTAGTGTTATGATGCCGGTTGACTGGTCGATACTGTAAGTTTGCTGATCATTACCACCGACAATTGTGTACGTCAGCTTTTCGTCAACGAAATCTGGATCACTCGCCGTCACAACTGTCACAAATTGGCCCCGCTCTGCATCCTCCGACAGGGAACACGTGTACGATGGCTGCTCGAATTTCGGTGGATTGTCGTTCATGTCGATGACAGTGATCCAGACATGGGCTGTACTTGAGAGAGAGGGAATCCCCCGGTCGGTTGCAATTACCGTGAAGTGGTGAGAATCGTGGCTCTCGTGGTCCAACGATCTCTTTAAGAGGAGAACACCCTCCTTCGGATCGATGTGAAATAGATCACTGCTGTTTAATGTATCGTTTTGAATCGCGTAAACCACCTCCTGATTGATGCCTAGAATTTCAAATTGCCAGGATTTCATTTCACGGACCCCGGGTAAATTCCGAGAGATAAATTAATTCGTATAGAATCTCGCGCTTTTAATACTTTAAAATATTTTATTATTATTGACGACGCAGATATAGACGAAATCAATGAATGATTGATTAAAAAATTCATTTTGCTTCACGATAATTTTTTTCTTTACTCCCTAACTGTTTTTCGCATATATTCGATGTACAGGCAATAATGAAACTAGCGCACGAGTTTTTCATACGCGAAACCACCGACCAGTCGATTTTGTTTGATTACAAAAAAAAAAAGGAATGAAAAGTCCGGCCAAAAATTTGTCATCCCCCGCAGATCCCGCGGTATTTATCGAAAATTGGGCAATAGTAGAGATCAATTTCAGACGATTTACGGTTCGTCCAGAATTTTTCTAATGAATTTTTTCTCGTGGACGGTCAATGTGTCATTAATCCGCGTAAATTTTCATATCTTACCTGTGTCGTTGTCCCTCGTACTGACAGTGAGAATTGAAGTGCCAAAGGGTGCTGCCTCAGAGACTGATATGTTGTAGGAGTCTTGCGTAAACTCCGGTGGGCAATCATTGACATCCTGAACGAGAATACTGACAAGTACCTCGGCGTAAACACCCGATACACTGTCGGTAGCACGTACCGTAAGCTCGTACTGTTTCTTCTGCTCGTAATCCAACTCGTCCACGACGTAGATAGTGCCTATTTCGGAGATTGAAGAAAAATAAAAAAAAAGGATATTGTGAGCCGAAAAAGGTAAGCAGTGAATGACCATTGAATTGTCGGAGCTTTCGTTTATTTTCAATGCACTAATGAATGCAAATGTGAATATATTTTTACCATCGAATATGGATGAAAAGGAGAGTGGATATATGTACGGTGCATTTTGTAGAAACAAAGAGATTTTGGTGAATGGAATGGATGTACATGAGTGCTCAAATATCTCGTGTTTACACACTCGAATAAAAACTATAAAATTGCATGAAATTTCCATGCATTGATCAATTGAAGCGACCATTTGAAACCACAAAAGCTGCAAGTACCCCTAGGGCTGGTCATTTAATGGAATAAATTGGCAAAAATGGAATAACGGATATTTAATCCCCATTTCAATGGGCTATCAGTGGCATGCATCATAATGGATGAATATCTACCAAAATATTAGTATCGCTGATGGGTGTTAATGAGGATGGTTCAAAACAATAAAATAGCGTGCCTGATAAAAATAAAAAAATAACTAAAAAAATATTCTTTTCACTTTGATAAATCAAACGAAACGAATAAAATCAGTACCAAGTGATAAAATTTGTCGACTGCGGATGGAAACGATCAAGAACTTTTTTGGTTCATTGAATTTTCGATTGAAGGTATTTTATTACTTTTGACAATGAGCGAAAAAACGACTCATCATTAAAAAAATTGGCAATCGAATATTTTTGGTGCCTAAGTAAATTTTCGTAATGGAGAGTAATTTTTTTTCTCAATGTATCACTGAATACTGGTACTGGAATAATATGTGCGTAATGAATGGCGTCAGCTAAAAAAATATACAGCAACACATATAGCAGGCTGATTTAACGAGTCTGTTGTTTTTTATACTCACAGGGACCATTGTTATTGTCGGGGGCTGCGAAACAGGTAGATACAACAATACTTTAATTTCGAAACTTCTCAATAAAGCTTTTTTCTGTCTTGGGTGGGGTTGGGCTGGGGTGGATAAGAACTTGAGGACAGGGAAATACTATCTCATTTAATCCGTACACTGAGCGCACATTATCAGACTCACCCGTGTTAAAGTTGAGGGCAAACTCCTCAAAGTCGTTGCCCTTGGTGATACTGTAGATGAGTTTGCGATCGAGATCAGATTTGGCTTGAATTGACAGTGAGAGTGGTGTGTCAACCTCGATATTCTCAAAGACGTCGTCGGTGTAGAACTGTTTGTCGAATGTTGGCATGGACCGATCAATCACTTTAACATTGACTGGTACTTCGATTGAACAGGGTGTCAGACCTTCAATGAAATCGGAGAAACGTCGAATGACAAGGGGGAAGATAATGCCTCCATTAAAGAGAATGAGAAATCTGAAGGAGCGATGGGATTGAGAAAAATTTTATTCTTCACCAAAACGTCACTTCCTCAATTCTGAACATGAGCGTTCATTTTTCACCCAAAACTCGATTCACAAATGAAATTCATTGAATTCATAGTACTATCATATTCTGCTCTTGGGAATTTAATTTATTAACCACTTGATTTTTTTAAATTCTCTTCTGCAATCCACGACTCACACGAGAAAAAAAAAAGAATATAAAAAACGTAAAGCTTTTTTTGACTTATTCTATTAAATTTCTTTAAGCGTGGAATGCAGAGGGTGTAAATTTATCGCTGACTTACCCCCGTCATACGCAGCTATAGTCAACTGATACTCCCTGTTGTGGCCCTCGAGATTCTGTTTCAGTGATATTTCGCCAGTTTTCCGTGACACCTTGAAGAGCTCCCCATGACCCTTTTTCAGCTCGTACCTCACTTCCCCATTGTCCCCGCTATCCATATCGATTGCATGGACCTGCTCACCCCAAGTTTTATTAGTAAAGTTTCAAAGGAAAAGAGAAAGACATTGAATAACGCCACATGAATAAATATTGAACGCCAAAAATAGACAGATACGTTAAAATCCCTTACCTTCGTGATAACACTGCCTTTTTGCGCATCGACCGAGACAACCGCATAGTACGGTAGATTGACGAACATGGGGCAATTGTCGTTAATGTCGAGAATAGTAACATTTACAATAGCATGAGCAACCCTGGGTTTTTCTCGTTCCAATGCATGACTCTTGGCCTCGACAATAAGCTCGTAATGATGAGTTGTTTCTCTGTCAAAACGTTTGCCAGTTGTTCGTATAGCCCCCGACGTTCTACCAATTTCAAACATATCAGTTGGATTGAGAATGCTGAAGATTATATGCTCGTTCAATGCTGAACCGAGTACATTAACAACAGCAACAGTCATTATCTTGGTGGAATTCTCCTCAATGGATCCCTCGTAAATTTCACGCTGAAACACAAGCCCCGAGTTTTCCGACTGCTCCACCTTGACTGAGACCTGTGCAACACCCGAGTATTTATCATCTGAGACACGTACATGAAGAAGATAAAATTTTTTCATTCTGTCAGGCTCGTTGACAGTGACAACACCAGTCTGAGAATCAATTTCGAAGGTTTGATTCTTGTTACCATCGATAATGTCGTATCTGAGGGGCTCCTTGGTACTGTCTGGATCGATGGCATTCACTTGGAGGACTTTGACATTCCTGTACGTCGGGAGTAGAACAGTTGCAGTGTAATTGGTCTGTGAAAATTTGGGTGGACAGTCGTTGACATCAGTGACAGCAATCATCACTCTAGCAGTGGTTTCCGATGATAATTTTGGTTTACCCAGATCAGATACTTTAACGTGAAACTGAAAATTGGGAATAGTCTCGTGGTCGAGCATCATTATCGTCCTGATAGCACCAGTACTCGAGTCAATGTGAAAATATTTTCTGGGTAGATCCTCAACTATATCGTAACTGAGTAGAGCATTCAATTCCGAGTCAGCGTCTTCGGCTTTAATAACCAAGGGAGAGCTCGAATTAGTCAGTACGAGTGATCCAATACTGGCGCCTTCACTAATCTCCCCATTGTAAATTGCCTGAAGGAACTTGGGTGGGTTATCATTTCGGTCCAAAACATGAACAATAACGCTGCACATAGCTGTTGCACCTGCCATATTGGTCGCAGAAATAGTGAGATTGTAGAACCTAATCTTCTCGTAATCCAATCGATTCTTCGTGGTTATAACCCCAGTGCTGGGATTCACGAAGAACATGTCGTCCCTGTTGCCATTCGTTATCTCAAACTGTAACGACGATGTACTCCTAGCTTCAACGTGTTTAACATAAGTACCAGTCTGTTGATTCTCATAAATTTCAGCTGCGAGCTCGCGCTGTAAAAATCTCGGTGGTGCATTGTCAGCCATCGTAACAACAACATCAACAGGCACAGTATTGGTCAGAGGTGGTGATCCATGATCGGTTGCTTTAACCAATAAAATATATTCAGCAGTGACACCGAGATCCAGATCACGTGCCACTCTCACTATACCCAAATCAGGATCAATCAAAAATACATTACCAACATTTCCCGATGTAATGGAATACGTGATTCTGGCATTGTCACCTCTGTCACGATCAATAGCACAGATCTGTACAACAGCAGTGCCAATCGGCGATGTCTCGTAAACTTTGCCCTGAATTATTTCATTTATAAACTCGGGTACATGATCATTGTGATCGTGAACAGAAACAATAACTCGGGCATAATTTCTTTTAGCCGGAGTCCCCTGATCCCTCACCATAACAGTCAGTATGTGCACCTCAATTGTTTCACGATCCAAATAATCATTGAGGGTAATAGTACCGGTTATCGAGTCAACGTGAAATATCTCGAGAGATTGTTGATTCTGCGCTGCATGAAGACTGTAAAACACCTTCTTATCCTCATCTCTGTCAGTAGCGTGCAACTGGAGTACCCTCTCACCCTTCTCAACATTCTCCGATATCTCAACTCTGTACGTACTCTCCGAGAACTCAGGGCGATGATCATTTATGTCAATCACTGTTACGAATAACTGAGTTTTCGTTGTGAATACACCATCGGTCACGGATATCGTCAGGTTGTAAAAATTCTCCGTCTCCCAGTCGAGTTTTCTAGCTAATAATACGTTTCCATTGTCACGACCTATGAAAAATTCATCTCTCTCGTCGCCATCGACGATGTCGTACCACAGGGTATCACCGTCTTTATCAGTTGCCTGCACCAGGGCAACGAGAAAACCAACTTCATCGCTCTCCGTCATTGCAGCTGTTTGATTGTTTGTCTTGAAGACTGGGGCGTACACCGAGTCGTTGGGAGCCTCGACAACCTGGACTGAGACTCGGGTCTGATGACTCCTCTGTGGTTCACCGTTGTCAGCTGCTCGTATCTTGGGGAGTAAGTCATCATTCAGTACAAAGAAAAAAGAAAATGAGAGCTTAATGGCTGGATTTTTGTGGTTTACCAGCATCTCGTACTCCTGTCCAACTTCGAAGCTCTTCTGGGAGTACACCATTCCCGTTGTTGGGTGAATCCGGAATTTTCCCTTGTTCCTACCCCCCTTGATACTGTATGTTATCCTACCGTTGTCACCCACGTCTCTGTCATTGGCGAGTACCTGTCACAAGACATTATTGTTGCGAAAAATATTGAGGGAGTTGTCGCTGAATTCTGTCATTAGTGGAGTTATCGAAGTGATAAATTCTTTTGTCAATCGTAACAATTGCGTAAACTGCTCATATATCGTTCTATCCTCACACTGCGAGAGTTATTATTTCAACGGAAGGATTAATTTATGAGGAGTTTGCACGATTATTAAAATTGTAAAGAATAAATCTCCTCTAAGCCCTGATTGTCAAAAGTAATTGTTTCTCACACTTATCGTGGAAATTGAATTATTCGTCCGGATCCACTTAATCACAGAATGCGAGTTAGTGATATAATAGAGTTAGATATCATAATTGTTAATCAATGAGTCATTCATTAAAAGCCGCTCTTTTCACCTGTATTTAAAATAAAATTCCATAGTGTGTTCCATATATATCAAGCATTGCATTCTCATTCAGCATGCTCTTTCAGCATTAAAAGATAAATTGAGAGCCGGAGGTTCTCTCACTCGCAGAGAGAAATATCAGCAATAAAATGGCGTAACAATTCCGTTAAATTTCCCTGAACAACATTTAACTTGGAAGTTACGAGAATGATACGTCATTTTTATTGAATATTTCTCGTCGTGCTGACATGGAGCAAAATGGTCTGCAAGGTAGATTTAAAATTGATCCTAATATAAAAAGGAGAAACTAAAAAAAACATCGATATGTCGAAAATATCTCGATATATCGGAATATCTCGAAATTATCGAAGATGCGTAAGACTGAATCCGTCGTTCTGAAGGCGCTTCCGGCGTCGTGGCCGTGGCTGAAATCATTCTTTCCGGTCTGGACGTCGAGAAGAACGTTGCGACGCTTTTCCATTTTGGCAACAAACGATTAGTAAAGTGCATCACTGAACAATTATGACATCATCGAATATTAAATATACTTCGAGTAAAGCCATTGAACACTTCAATGTGGGGGCTACTCTCATGTAAGTATTTTTAGAGAATATTTATCCTGTACATTTGAATCATTCTAACCTAATTTCAGTAACACGTGCTATTCAAGAAATAAAATTTCAATTTTTTCAGGAGAATAACTGGATATGTAGACTGCATCGAGGGATTAAAAGAATTACCTAAATCGGCTTCAAAATGGATTTACAAATGCATCGTCAATAATAATGATGGTAAAAGGGTTCGCATTCTCTTTTGGGGGGATAGTGCGTTGAGATACAATAAGGAGATCGCAATGTATCAGGTACGGTAATTTCATTTACGTGATTTTTATGCAATGCTAATGCAATTTTACGTGGTTTTCTTAAATCAATCATAGTCGATTGGTCCACGTTATTTTTCGGCAGATGTTTTAAATTTAATGTAAAAATCGTCGCGTAGGGAAATTTGATGAACCTCGACACTTCTAAATTTTTTGAAAATAATAATTAAACTTATAAATTAAAAACAAAAATAGGAGAGAATGGGGAAACGGAATTACTTCATTTGTTAATATCCTGGGATTGGCAGAGTAAAATTGAATTACTTTTTTTTTATTTTAAAGTTCAAACACAAAGCTTCAACATGAAAAAAAATCAATTACAATAAATGGCAATTAGAAAAAAAAATTGTTCATTTTTTATGTTCTTATTCAATTGACATCAATTCAAACGATATTTCGATGAAAATGATGTCCTTTATTTCTACAGATTATTAAGATTAGTGGTGGTACGATCAAATTGGCTAATCCAACGTATCGCAGATCCGGGGACACCGTCAGTGATAAAGAATTTCAATTTGGATGTGCAAGTACTCTAGAAGTTTTGGGTATGTTCAACATTTCTAAAAACGCTGACGGGGCAATAAAGAAGACAATAACGTATCGGCCCAT